GAATCAGGACACAAGTTTAGGAACTAGTCCAACAGAGGGAAGGGGCTTGAGAATGTCCCAAAATCTTCACAAAGATGATAGATTTAGAAGAATAAATAAAGTAAGAGAGGTTGACTGTCAGTGACATTTAAACAGGCAGCTCCAGAAAACAGGCTAATAAAAGGGAAGTCAACGTTATTTGTTTGTTTGTTTGACTCATTGTTTGTTTGTTTATCCCTGTCTTTCACCTTAAAAAGAACGCAAGGCGGCTTACATCTTTAAAAGAAAAAAATATAAACTGACAAGCAATAAGGATACAAATACTTAAAATGGTCAAACAAATACCACACTAAAAACAGTAAACAAAAGCAACACCAACAGAGTTCTGGTGCAAGGCTGACCTGAGGAATCACTATCATGGTTCTGTTTCACAGCAAAACATGTTCAAAGCAGTACGGCACAACAATCCATTTAAAAACCCCATTCATTCAGACAGTCGGTCATTTTGGAAAAGCTTGCCTGAAGAGAAATGTCTTTGTCTGCTTGTGGAAGGACAGAAAAGATGGGGCCAGCCTGGCCTCCTGTGGGAGGGAGTTCCAAAGTCTGGGAGCAGCAGCAGAGAAGACTCTACTCCTCAGTTAACTACAACAATAATAAATCTCAGCACACAACAATTAGAAATATGCTGAAAATGAAGGTTCTCAATGGGGGAAAGGGGTTAGTAGGGCTTGATGTGACATCAAATGCATGATTTAAACATGTCTTCGATAGCATGTTTCTGTTCTTTAGTTTGATTCTTCTCAGCTCTTGTGGTTGTTTCATTTTTCCTTTTTCCATGCTATACTTACTACTAAACATTTGCTTGCACTGGTTCCCTCCCTCATTTCATACCAAGTTTAAACTTCACCTCAGGACAGAATCCTATTCTGTTGCTCTGCTCATGCAACAGTCTGTGTGCTCATCATTCAGTGTTTTAATGTACTGCAAAAAGAAGTATCCAACATCTCCCACAAGAAAAACCCTATTAGTTTAAATGAACACCCTCTGAAATCTCCACTTGCACAACAGAGATCAAATAGAACTACACACTTTGCCAATGTTCAACAGGATTCTGGCTTTAATCTTTAAATCTGTTGTTCCTTCTAATCTACTTGCATTGCTTTCTCTCTATTTGCCTCCTCGGTCCCTCTATTAAACAAACATTTATCTTTATTTAAATGCCCACTCCCTGCTGCTATTTCTCACCTGCATGTTGTTTCTCCTGCCCCGTTCAACATGAAGCCCTCTCTTCATGTCTATTCAGTTGCCCTGGTTTTGTCTTGCTGCAATAAATGATTAAAAACTCATATTTCCTCTCCTGATATACTATCTGGCTTCTAAATTTATTTTTAATGCTGTGAACTTGCACAGTTAATGACAACAATAGTTGTAGTTCCATAAAGTATCTAGCACATATTAGGCACTCTACTGATAAGAGACAATAATGATCAATGAGAAGGAAGGCAAAATATGCAAATTATTTTACTAATAGGGTGTTGAATAGAGGTACGAGATCAGAGAAGACAACTGAAAACCAGAAAGATGGCAGTAGTCAAGATGATTGATAGGGTGTGACCAAGATTTTTTTAAAACCAGATCCTGCTCCCCTCTACTATCCCTTTTACTCCAGAATGCGTTCATAAACCACTTTCCACCTTCTTCTTATCCTTCCACCTTCTTCTTATCCTTCTTATTTCAACTTCCTTCAGCTCCATTATATTATGGCCCTAGAGTTTACCAGGTACTGGGGGGAATGGCCAACTTCAGATGATAATATTTCAGCTTTAATAGTTATAAACACACCTTCTGTATGCACACAATGTCCTCATTTCTCTCTTCATGCAATCTATGGTTAGACCAGTGAGGTTCTTGTTAATTGTGTATGTGTGTGCGTGTGCATGTGGGTGCGACTTGCTGCCAAGTCCTTTTCAACCTACCCTATGAATTAAATGGCATCTGGACTGCATTCCCTCTCCCACTAATAAGTCCCTTCATGAGCTTATGACACTTAGAAGAGTCTTTACATTACTGTGGGAAAGGATTAAAAGCAGACAGTAAAAATTATCATTTTAAATTTCACCAGGAGATACCTAATCAACCAGAAAGCATTTATACTTCAACAGACTTTCCAATATACTGTAAAGTGGCTAACAAGGTGTAAAAAAAATTAGGAGGAACTGCAATTTAAAAACTGAAAATAAAAGTTGATAGACACTACATTGTATCTTACCTATGTAAGAGCAATGGTGCTCGTTTTCTTGTTAAGATAGCTGCTCTCATTTAGTGCTATGGTAGTTGGACTACGTATTGTTTATGGTTGAAAAACTATATTTATTAGAGTAAATTATCCACATGCCTGTCAGCAGTGGTAACGAACAGAAACAGAATCTTGTACAAACAGATCCTACATCTTCCATTTTTCATATCATCCAGGCCAATGAAGAGTTTGAAGAACTTAAAAGTAGGCACTTCCTCTCTTCTTCTTCTTCTTTCTTTCTCTTTCTTTTTCTTTCTTTCAGCACTTATATCACCTGTTCCACCATCTTGCCTTTTAAAATTAGTTTATTTTGATGTTTTATTTTATTTTTTGTATCTTGATTGGTGTGTTTAATTTTGGGTTTTGTATAATGGTTTGAGTTCAGAAACTGTTCTGCGCCAATTCCACCCCTTAAGAATCAAATGTGCATAGTACAATCCTGGTCAAATCAGACTGCAAATGAATGCTGAGAGCTGTCTTTATCAAGACCCCTACATAAAACACACAGTGAACTGTTTAGTCCATTGAACTGTGATTTGTTCATAATCCACCTGTCCATAAAGAGACCCAGAATGCCCTAAAATCTAGTTATTTTAAACATCTGTTCTGTGCTTTCTTTGGTTTCATTAAAATAACTAAGATTTTAGCTCCTTTAACAGTTTCATTAACACAATTATACCTGCTTACATTTTCTTGCACATAAAGTTAAAAGTTTGCTAGTCTTTTTTAATGGATTTTCCCCTCGCTCAAATCTTAGACCATTTTATTATGTTATTACAGTATTGTTTTCAGAAGGGACTATACATGACACTTTTATTTAAACACTGTGGCTATAAAAGTTTGCTGAAAAATAACTGTGCAGCAATTTATTAATTGAACAGTACCCGGGTTAGAATAAGCCCATCTAGAGCAATGACAGCCACAAGTTTATACAAAGACTATTTCCAGTGTTAATTCATTCTAGCTCAGGAAACCCTTGAGTCCAAACACATTTCCTTCTACAGGTATTTGCCCTCAATTGGGCCAAATTGCTTGTCAGTAGTTCTGCTGTGATTTTAATTGATACCACAATAATATGTTGATACCACACAAATAGAAAACTTTCAGATGAAAGAGCATGCATCTTGATAGAGGGCACAGGAGGTACTGCAACTACTGTACCTTGTAATGAAATCAAACATGCCAGTGAAGTACTCAAGCCAGGGGTACAAGCGTGATAAAATCTCTCTTGCTCATCAGCACAAATTAAGAAAACAGGATTTAGCAAGTGATATCAAATCTGTAATCCAGCTTCTGAGGTTATGCTGAACATGTGTCCTCTCAAAAAAACTGTCCCATTCACCTTCTCATAGTGTCTGCAGGTGTGAATGTCACGGAGCACGGATCAGTACCTCTTCTTTGGGAAGCAATACAGTACCAAAAGATGCTCAATTCTATAAAAAGTCTTAGCAGTGACCGTAGAGTGCACCAAGACATAAAAAGATCATCACTTCTGACTTCAACTTGCTTCTGGAGATTATCTAAAATACTTTAAAATAAGATGCAACAAAGGCTGCAATGATTTAGATAGGCTTACCTTTAGAACAGCCCCGTGCCTGACATTTTAAGGGTACACCTATAAATATTTGTCTCCTACAGTGTAAAGACTCCTTTATATTAAACTACTTTATACCTCCACAATTTTAAGAAAAGTTCCGACCTGGGGTGGGACCAAATAAGACTAACAAGATCTGAGGCAAAAGGAGCGTTTTCCCTGTGGACCTCTAAAAATGTTAGCATGAGCCTCACATCCTTCTCAAGTATTCCTTCCCCGAGGGATCTGGATTATTTCATTCCAGCATTGTCCAAACACAGAGAAAACAAACACTTGGGAAGAGACAAGGGGGAATGAATAAAAGGCATATAACACAAAAAAACCTCTTCCAAAAACTCTTCTGTTCTCCACCTGGACTCTGGAAAAAAAAAAGGGAAGGGAAGGGATTCAGCTGAGGAAAGGTCCCCCTGAGCAACAGTGTGAGTTTCAAAACTGCGGTGCCGCCAAGGAAGGGAAATGTTGAAGCGGCTTGTTTGGACAGATTCAGCTGGCAGCTAGTTTCTCCGTCAAGCTCTGGGAGGAGGGAAACAAGGAAACAGAAGCAACGACAACGAGCAGGAGGAGGACTGACATACACTGTATTATTCGCCGGGGTTGCAGCAGCCGCTTTTCCTCCGGAGCAGGAGAGGCAAAGCTCCAGCCACACCAGGAGGGGGAGGGAGGGAGACAGATGTGGATGCAGCTGGACGGAGGAGGAGGATGAAGAAGAAGAGGAGCGGAAGAGATCCAAGTCTCTCTCGCCATCGGGCCAAGAGAAAAGGGGGGGGGGAGAGAGTACATAAAACAAAACAAGGAAGCCGCCAGAGGCTCCGGACAGAGACCATCGGCGGGGGTCTTTCTCTGAGCAAACTAGCCCTTCCCCGAAAACAGAACAAACAGCCACCCCTTCTTCCGCTGACAAATCCGTGGAAGGCACACTCGGGTTCTCTTCGCTGCCCATCCGTGCCCCGCCTCGCTCCCACCGACTCCCAAGGGAAAGCTCTCCGAGCTACACAACACACCTCAGGCGCGGCTCGGGCGGCAACCCCGCTTCCGCCGAGCTCCACTCCAGGACCTCCCCACTTTCTCAAGCCCCCGTGCGCCCCCCCCCGCCGTTCTCTCACTCACTCACTCCTTCGCTCGCTCGCCCACCTTGCTCCGGATCTGGCCCGAGGTGGACACTTTCCGAATGAGTTTCTGGGGTCCCTCGTGCTCCCCCTCACTGTCCGACGACTCCTCTCCCGGCCCCGCCGACGACGCCGAGGCTCCGGAGTCCCCCGGCGGCGCTTGAATCCCAGCTGCGCCCAGCCCCGCCTCGGCCATCTTCTCCGACTCCCCCGCCCCCCCTCCCGGGGAGACACCCAGGAGGAAAAACTAGAAAGCACGCGAGTCCGGCTCAAGTACCGGCGGGCGGCGGCGGCGGCACAGCCAGCCGCTCCCTCCTTTGCCTCTGCCTCTGCCTCTGCCTTTGCCTCCTCCTCCTTCTCACCCACCCACCCCCGCTCGCTTCTCCCGGGGCGGAGATGAGGGAGGTGGCGGGGATCAAAGTGAGGAGGAGCGGCAGCCAGACTCCGCCGCCCTCAGTCGCGCCCCGCCTGCTGCCGCCATCTTCCACCGCGTTCGCCAGGAAGAGGGGGACGGAGGTGCCGCGCAGGCAGAGCATCTCGTCAATCTCCGCTCCTGGGCACCGGCAGAAGCCGTCCAGGGGAGGCGACCTGTCCCCAAGAAGCGGCGTGAACATCGTCCGCAGCAATAACTGTGCTCGCCCCGAACAAGGCGGGTCGCCCGTCGGGGCCAGGAAGGAGAGCGGGAGAACCCTGAAGGAGGAGGAGGAGGACTCCTCCCGCCAAAATCCCTTCGGGGGAGAAAGCGCCTACTGCTAAATCTCTCTTAAGCGCAAAGATCTTAGGAGAGACTTGTTGAAGCCTATATTAATTTGAAAAAGAATCGCTCTAAACTCAAAGGAAAGCCACGATAACACGTGTTATCGGAAAACAAGATTCCGGAATCCATACAAAAGTCTCGCGGGCCAAGGAGCTTGGCAGTCTGGAAATGTTCCACTTTTCAAGTGGCCTACTAAAAAGAAATGACCTCAGCGTAGAGCCTTAAAAGTAACGGACTTGGTTAAGAGAGAATGAAGAGTCAAGTTGGTATGGTAATTCATCCAGAAGTAAGGCCTGCGTTATTGATAATACCTTGCCCACTACAGGATTAAAGCCATGGGGGGGTTCCCCCCCCTCTTTTCTCTCTCAAATGAGAAGGCTGGAGATAGGCAACAACTGCTATACTTAACGAGGGAAGTGCACAAGTCTAGTTCCCCTTGATTTGCTCATTTGTCTGATCTTTTATATCTTACATTTTTTCCCAGAACTGTAGGACCAAAGTGACTCACAGCAAGATTAAAGAAATAGACATAAAATGAATAGAAAACAGGAATAGATAAAAACACTACAAAAATATCATCTAAAAGTGTCGTTAAACTAACTAATCCATAAAAACTGTATTTAACTAAAAACAATTTAAAACAATTATTTTAAAAAGGAGTACAACATAAATTTGCTAAGAGAACCGTCCCTTCAATTGTTAGTTAATTGCTGAAAGCCTCTCATACAAGAGCCTTTGACAGCAGGTAGAAAGACAGAGAGGTGGCAGATCTAATCTGCCTTGGCAGGGCAAAGGACTACTCTACCAATAGTCCATAAACAGCTTGTGGACCATGCAGGAGGAGGGATGGTTTCCACCACTCTCCCCCCCCCCCCCGTCCATAACCCAATGGATTCCAGTGATTCTTAAAGCTAACATTATTTAAGAGAAGCTTTCATAGATTGCTTCTCACTTCAGTTGCAGTGCAAGACTGCATTTTCCCAAGACCTCATGATTATGGGGTGGTTTCTTTAAATTAAACACAAACTTCATTAAAACATTCTGGCTTGTTTTTCCATTTCAGTTTTGTTGAAATACAGTCATGTGAGAAAGAAAGCAGATCCCCTTTGAATTCTATGGTTTTTCGTATCATGACACAACAAAAATCATCTGGTCCTTCGTTCGTTTAGTCGTGTCCGACTCTTCGTGACCCCATGGACCAGAGCACGCCAGGCCCTCCTATCTTCCACTGCTTCCCGTAGTTGTGTCAATTTCATGTTGGTAGCATCAATGGCACTGTCCAGCCATCTCATCCTCTGTCGTCCCCTTCTCTTGCCGTCACACTTTCCTAACATCAAGGTCTTTTCCAATGAGTCTTCTCATGAGATGGCCAAAGTACTGGAGCCTCAGCTTCAGTATCTGTCCTTCCAGTGAGCACTCAGGGTTGATTTCCTTTAGAATTGATAGGTTTGTTCTCCTTGCAGTCCAGGGGATTCTCAAGAGCCTCCTCCAGCACCACAATTCAAAAGCATCAATTCGTCGGCGGTCTGCTTTCTTTATGGTCCAGCTCTCACTTCCATACATCACGACAGGGAAAACCATAGCTTTGACTATTCGGACTTTTGTTGGCAAGGTGATGTCTCTGCTTTTCAAGATGCTGTCTTTAGCAGGTCTGAAAATTAGATAAATGCAACCTCAGATGGACAACAACACATGACATTACACCGTGTCATTATTTATTTTACAATAATAAAGCATAAATAGAGAAGACGTGTCAAAAACTAAGTACAATCTTACTGCTTCCATAGGAATTAAGAGGCTAAGTAGCAGCCAGGTGCTGCTAACCAAATGCCCTTGAGAGTTCTTGTTGTTGTTGTTTAGTCATTAAGTCATGTCTGACTCATCGTGACCCCATGGACCAGAGCACACCAGGCCCTCCTGTCTTCCACTGCTTCCCGGGGGTTCGTCAAATTCATGTTGGTAGATTCGGTGACACTGTCCAACCATCTCGTCCTCTGTCGTCCCCTTCTCCTCTTGCCTTCAGACTTTCTCAACATCAGGGTCTTTTCCAGGGAGTCTGGACCACCTCCATAAAAGCCAAAGTTTTAGCAGTTTGCTGTTCTGGAGCATTCAGCGCTGTTAACACACTGCTAAAAGTTAAACACATCAGCAATGATCATAGAGAAGCAATTCTTGCTGTCCATCAATCTGGGAAGGGTTAGAAAGCCATTTCCAAATTTGAAGTCCATCATTCTACAGTGAAGAAGATTATTCACCAGTGAAAAACATTCAAGACATTTGCCATTCTCCCCAGGAATAGATGTCTAAGTAAGTTTACCCTAGGATCTGACCATGCCGGAGGAGGCAGGGGGAGAAATTGCAAAAAAACCAAAACAAAAACAAGGGTTGCATCTCAGACTCCACAGACCTCAGCATGTTAAAGGTCATTCCAGCAAAATTAGAAAAAGACTGAACAAGTACGGTTTGTTTGAAAGGGTTGCCAGGAGAAAGCCTCCTCTCTAAAAAGAACACGGCAGCATGGCTTAGATTTGCAAAGGTGTATCTGGACAAACCACAGGACCTCTGGAACAATGTGCTTTGGACAGATGAGACCCAAATAAAGATGTTTGGCCATAATGTACAGTGCCACGTTTTCTGAAAACCAAATATAGTGTATCAGCACTGATACCTCATACCAACTGTGAAGTACAGTGGAGAAGGGGTGATGATTTGTGCTTGTTTTGCAGCACCAGGACCTGGGCCCCTTGTAGTCAACTCCTCTGCATACCAAAATATTCTAGAGTCAAATGTGAGGCTATCTTTCCTACAGCTAAAACTTGGCCAAAATTCAGTTCTGCAACAGGCCAATGATCCCGAGTAATTTATTTTGCTCCTGTTTGACTGGCATTACTTTTCTTTGCATTGTGATGTGTGTGATCACCTGATCCGATGCAGAGGGACAGTCACTGGTATACTATTACATTATATCCATCAACTGAGAGCACTGTTGTCTCCCTTCCTCCAAAAATTTATCTGTTGTAGAAAAATGCTATGTCACTTCAGAAAAATAAAATTTAAAAAAGAATTAAGGGAAGGGCAGTCCTAGTAGAAAGGTTTAAAGGAAGATACATACTGTACTTGGTTTGAACCCATCTCAGCAAAGACAAATTGAATTCCCAATCTCAACAAAGATGGCCCTTTCCACAGCTTTGCTGCTCCTCTGGACTCCTGCCACACAGTAATTGATCATAGTGGATAGCTACAGTGATTTCATCTGCAGAAATCAGTAGGGGCCCAGTTTGAAAAACTTTGAAGCAAATTGGGTTTTTCCTGCTATGTAATTGCACCCTCTCTCTTAGCAATAATATATTTTCTTTTCTTTCTTACAAGTGTTTTTTTTTCAAAATTCCAGATTGTGTTGGTAGTAGTATATGCTTAAAAGTATTTGAGTTAAATGAAATAAATGGGTACCATTTTCCTGTAAAGAAGTATTGATTCTCTGTTCTTTGCAGTTGCTTTTATTTATTGTCCTATTCTGTAATGGTAGAACTTAATTACTTACATACCATTTCCCCGAAAATTCGTGTAAGCCCTAACCTGAAAATAAGCCCTAGTATGATTTTTCAGGATGCTCATAATATAAGCCCTACCCCAAAAATAAGCCCCAGTTAAGTAAAACTCCGCCCTCCACCATTGTGCAGCAGCCAGAAGAAGATGACATGACTGCATTTGAATAAATGTACTGTGTTTCCCTGAAAATAAGACAGGGTCTTATATTAATTCTTGCTCCAAAAAAAATGCATTAGGGCTTATTTTCAGGGCGTGTTTTGTTTTACAGTCATTTCATCTTCTGGTTGCTGCACAATGGTGGAGGGCAGGGTTTCACTTCATTGGGACTTATTTGGGAGGTAGGGCTTATATTACAAGCATCCTGAAAAAATCGTAATAGGGCTTATTTTCAGGTTAGGTCTTATTTTTGGGGAAACAGGGTAGATTGGAGTACATGAAAAAAATAAAACAGCCCCTGAAAATAAACCCTAATGCATTTTTGGAGCAAAAATTAATATAATCTTATACTGTATAGTCTTATGTTCAAAACAGTATATATAAAATCAAACTAAATAGTAAGTAGCAAAACTGCTGTTTTGAAAATAATTCAGGCACAAAATGGAGCAAAATGTTATTTAGTCTTAGCACAGCTTTTGTGCTCAAGTCCCATAAGGCTCAAAAATGCTATTGTCCTGAGATTCTTTCTATACTGCCCTGTATATTGTACCAAGGGTACAACATTGCCATCAAATATGACCACTTTGACACCAAAAAAATATAAGGACTGCCTTGCTAGATTGGACCAAGTTCTCTTTGGTGAGCCAGATATTTGCTGACATTAGCAGGCAACAATATGATAGAGAAAGTCATCTGTTGTTGTTCCAGCATGTGTTACTGAAAGACAAACTGTCTCTGGCCACAGAGATGCTGTTCAGTTATCATAGCTTGTTTCTTACGTGCTTGTCTAATAAATTTTGAAGACAGCTTATTTGATGGGATTCACCACATCTTGTGATCCGTGTATATAGTTCCTTTTG